AGATTTATGTGCGTCCCTCTTCATAGGAGGGTGTCTGATACTTGGGGGTGAACGATATCCTCCAGATTTGGGGGTTCATTACAGGAGGAATGGGGAGCCGGCCCGACTGACAACCTCCAGGAGTCCCTCTAATGTCCACAGAACATCATACTGGCCCCTCCCCCCGCTGCAGCCATTATAAAGCCGAAGACGGGAGTCTCACACATTCCGCTGCATTTTGTAACAATAAATAGAATCTTCATGAAGTTTGTATAAATACATTCCTGACCGATCACAACGACATCACAGAGCTCAGTGATCAGACTGTACAGTGTAACTTTGTAGGAGAAGGAGTCATTTCTTCAGTCTCCCCTCCCCCAGTGATCTGACTATACATTGTAGGAGGAGGAGTCATTTCTTCAGTCTCCCCTCCCCCAGTGATCTGACTATACATTGTAGGAGGAGGAGTCATTTCTTCAGTCTCCCCCTCCCCCACTGATCTGACTAGACATTGTAGGAGGAGGAGTCATTTCTTCAGTCTCCCCTCCCCCCACTGATCAGACTGTACATTGTAACCTTGCGGAAATAACTCCTCCTCCTTCTACAATCACCCCCCCCCCCCCAGAGATCCAACTGTACATTGTAACGTTGCAGCAAGTCATCAGGTGAGAGGCTGTAGAAGGGGCTGATCTACATCGGCCATTTGTGAACACTGCCAGGTACTGCACAGCCACCAGGATACACATGACATCTCAGCCCAGAAAGTGGAGGGTGACCCCGGATGATGCCGGAATAAATATGGCGCCGAGAGAAATGCAGATGAAGGTGTTGGGGGAGGGGCCAGTGATCTCTATAAAGAGGTAATAAGGCCCGGGACGTGTTACATACTACAAACATGTTCAACATGAAACAACACACGTGATGCCAGGACCACCCCAGCAACAGGCGTCACACCTACAGGTCACAGCAAAGGGGGCGGAGCTGGGAACCGCCAGTGCAGAGATTTGGTTTACCAATTCATTCCTGGTGGAGGAAGACGTTGGTTGGTTACCTGACCCGTCTGTGCTGCTGTCTGTGACCCCGGCGGGGTCACCCCCCAATTCTGCTCCTCTGGATATTCAGGATCCGAGGTGGAAGGAGGTCCCATCCCGCGGGATCACAGAACTTCATAGAAGGACGAACTTCACCCCCATTTACAGACAAGCTTCGACATTAAACGGCCAAAGCACCAGGTGACCACCTGACCTGACGACCAATCAGTTCGCCCCATTGTGGAGCCGTATCCAACCATCAGCTGTTCTCACTCTGGAGGATCCGAACCAAGATCTCTACTCATTACAAAGTATCCCCCCCGTGACCTCCCCCAACCGGAGAGTATCCCACCCGTGACCTCCCCCAACCGGAGAGTATCCCACCCGTGACCTCCCCCAACCGGAGAGTATCCCACCCGTGACCTCCCTCCACTCGGGGAATATCCCACCCGTGACCTCCCCCAACCGGAGAGTATCCCACCCGTGACCTCCCTCCACTCGGGGAATATCCCCACCCGTGACCTCCCTCCACTCGGGGAATATCCCACCCGTGACCTCCCCCAACCGGGGAATATCCCACCCGTGACCTCCCCCAACCGGAGAGTATCCCACCCGTGACCTCCCCCCAACCGGAGAGTATCCCACCCGTGACCTCCCCCCAACCGGAGCGTATCCCACCCGTGACCTCCCCCCAACCGGAGAGTATCCCACCCGTGACCTCCCTCCACTCGGGGAATATCCCACCCGTGACCTCCCCCAACCGGAGCGTATCCCACCCGTGACCTCCCTCCACTCGGGGAATATCCACCCCCGTGACCTCCCCCAACCGGAGAGTATCCCCCCCGTGACCTCCCCCCAACCGGAGAGTATCCCCCCCGTGACCTCCCCCAACCGGAGAGTATCCCACCCGTGACCTCCCTCCACTCGGGGAATATCCCACCCGTGACCTCCCCCAACCGGAGCGTATCCCACCCGTGACCTCCCTCCACTCGGGGAATATCCCACCCGTGACCTCCCCCAACCGGAGCGTATCCCCACCCGTGACCTCCCTCCACTCGGGGAATATCCCACCCGTGACCTCCCCCAACCGGAGCGTATCCCACCCGTGACCTCCCCCAACCGGAGAGTATCCCACCCGTGACCTCCCCCAACCGGAGAGTATCCCACCCGTGACCTCCCTCCACTCGGGGAATATCCCACCCGTGACCTCCCCCAACCGGAGAGTATCCCACCCGTGACCTCCCCCCAACCGGAGCGTATCCCACCCGTGACCTCCCCCAACCGGAGAGTATCCCACCCGTGACCTCCCTCCACTCGGGGAATATCCCACCCGTGACCTCCCCCAACCGGAGCGTATCCCACCCGTGACCTCCCTCCACTCGGGGAATATCCACCCGTGACCTCCCCCAACCGGAGCGTATCCCACCCGTGACCTCCCCCCAACCGGAGAGTATCCCACCCGTGACCTCCCCCAACCGGAGAGTATCCCACCCGTGACCTCCCTCCACTCGGGGAATATCCCACCCGTGACCTCCCCCAACCGGAGAGTATCCACACCCGTGACCTCCCCCAACCGGAGAGTATCCCACCCGTGACCTCCCCCAATCTGAGAGTATCCCACCCGTGACCCTCCCCAATCTGAGAGTATCCCACCCGTGACCTCCCCCAACCGGAGCGTATCCTCCCCGTGACCTCCCCCAACCGGAGCGTAACCCCCCCCCCGTGACCTCCCCCCAACCGGAGAGTATCCCACCCGTGACCTCCCTCCACTCGGGAATATCCCACCCGTGACCTCCCCCAATCTGAGACAATATCCCACCCGTGACCTCCCCCAACCGGAGCGTATTCCACCCGTGACCTCCCCCCACTCGGAAAATATCCCACCCTTGACCTCCCCCAACCGGAAAATATCCCACCCGTGACCTTCCCCAACCGGAAAATATCCCACCCGTGACCTCCCCCAACCAGAGCGTATCCCACCCGTGACCTCCCTCCACTCGGAGAATATCCCACCCTTGACCTCCCCCAACCGGAGAGTATCCCACCCGTGACCTCTCCCCAACCTGAGCGTATCCCACCCGTGACCTCCATTTGGAGAATATCCCACCCGTGACCTCCCCCAATCTGAGACAATATCCCACCCGTGACCTCCCCCAACCGGAGCGTATCCCACCCGTGACCTCCCTCCACTCGGAGAATATCCCACCCGTGACCTCCCCCAACCGGAAAATATCCCACCCGTGACCTCCCCCAATCTGAGACAATATCCCACCCGTGACCTCCCTCCAACCGACAGTATCCCACCCGTGACCTCCCCCAACCGGAACGTATCCCACCCGTGACCTCCCTCCACTCGGAGAGTATCCCACCCTTGACCTACCCCAACCGGAGAGTATCCCACCCGTGACCACCCTTCACTCGGAGAGTATCCCACCCGTGACCTCCCCCAACCGGAGAGTATCCCACCCTTGACCTCCCCCAACCGGAGCGTATCCCACCCGTGACCTCCCTCCAACCGGAAAGTATCCCACCCGTGACCTCCCTCCAACCGGAAAGTATCCCACCCGTGACCTCCCTCCAACCGGAGAGTATCCCACCAGTGACCTCCCCCAATCTGAGACAATATCCCACCCGTGACCTCCCCCCAATCTGAGACAATATCCCACCCATCACCTCCCCCCAGCCTGAGAGAGTATCCCACCCACGATCGTCTTCCATTATGAAGGTCTATCTCCACCCACGATCGTCTTCCATTATGAAGGTCTATCTCCACCCACGATCTCCCCCCCATTATAAAGGTCTATCCCCACCCACAATCTCCCCCCATTATAAAGGTCTATCCCCACCCACAATCTCCCCCCCATTATAAAGGTCTATCCCCACCCACGATCCCCCATTATGAAGGACTATCCCACCCACGATCCCCCATTACGAAAGAGTATCCCCACCCAGGATCTCCCTCCATTATGGACTATCCCCCATTATGAAGGACTATCCCCACCCACGATCTTCCCCCATGATGAAGGACTATCCCACCCACGATCTCCCCCCCATGATGAAGGACTTTCCCACCCGCGATCTCCCCCCATTATGAAGGACTATCCCACCCACAATCTCCCCCCATTATGAAGGACTATCCCACCCACGATCTCCCCCCCATGATGAAGGACTATCCCACCCACGATCTCCCCCCCATGATGAAGGACTAGCCCACCCACGATCTCCCCCCATTATGAAGGACTATCCCACCCACGATCCCCCATTACGAAAGAGTATCCCCACCCAGGATCTCCCTCCATTATGGACTATCCCCCATTATGAAGGACTATCCCCACCCACAATCTCCCCCCCATGATGAAGGACTATCCCACCCACGATCTCCCCCCCATGATGAAGGACTAAGCCTACCCACGATCTCCCCCCATTATGAAGGGCTATCCCACCCACAATCTCCCCCCATGATGAAGGACTATCCCACCCACGATCTCCCCCCATTAAGAAGGACTATCCCACCCACGATCTCCCCCCATGATGAAGGACTATCCCAGCTGCTGCCTCTTCAGGTTCAACCTTCGTTCAGAAGATCCATTTATTGATGACTATGGAGTGAAGTTGTGTCTTTTACGTCTGTCTGGATTTCAGCTTTACATTTCCAGCCTACAAGCCCTCCACCTACAACCGAACCCTCCACCAATGGCTGAACATTGGGAGCCACCATTCTTGTGCTGGCGACTCTCCCAAATATTTATAATCTCCAAAAAGAGATCTACATATTTCACATTCATGCAGTGGATCCCTCAGGATCTGCAGGGTCCTAGCCCCACGGTACTGCCACCCGTGGTCAGTAGGTGTGGATAAGGCCACGCTCTCTGAGATAAAAGCCTAAAATACGTGAAACCAATTATAAATCTCATTTCTGTACATAAAATGTATACAACTCACATATAAAATCAGTCTACGGGATATTTGCTGGTGTGCCGGCTGAGAAGTCTACATGCTGGTTGGCTGCTGTAATGGTGGTCCGGCGTCGCAGTCAGCAGTGGGGGTCTCTGACCTCATGTACATGAGGAAGAGAGTGACGGTGGCAAAGGTAGCAGCATTGACGGGGAACGCCCTCAGCAAGGTGGAGGTCAGACCCCTCGTGAAGACCCTCAGCCCTTCTCTATTGTAGCTCTGTCTGATGCAGTCCATGATGCCATTATATTGCTTGGCGCCACCAAAGCCATCGGCTTGAAGTCGAGATTTGATGACATCAATGGGGTAGGTGGACAGCCAAGACACGATGCCGGACATGCCACCAGCGAACAGCAGCTTGGGGATGATGAGGTTGTCGTTGATCTCACAGCCGAGGTACCTGGAGAGATAGTCGTATGTCAGGAAGTAAAAAGCCAAAGCTTGGTGTCTCCCGGAGAAAGGTGGTCACCATCCCTCTGTTGATGCCCCTCAGGCCCTCCTTCTGGTAGATCTTCACCAGGCAGTCCAAGGAGTTCTTGTAGGTTTTGGATTTGGACTTGTACACCCCAGTGCCTTGCATCTGCATTCGGGTTTTGGCCAGTTCCATGGGACAACAGATCACGCACTGGATGGACCCGGCCGCCGCCCCGGCCAGGAACTGGTTCAGTGGCGTGTCTTTGCCAAGGTAGCGGAGTGTGTTCCCTTGAACCCCAAACACCAGAGCGTTGATAAATGTGAGGCCCATCATGGGGGAGCCGACCCTTTGTACAGCCCCCATGCCTAAAGAGAAAGACGAAAAAAAGATTAAACCTGATCTGCTGAACATCGTGGAGAGGGATCTGTTAGATCTGTCAGTAAGACAAGGCTGGTGATCCTGCCAGAAATCCAGAGCACCCCACCGCACTCTGGCAGGTATCAGCTCCGCCCACTTCACCTCTACTCTACAGAACACCTCCTCCTAGATTATATAATAAAGAAAGGGGGGGTCTGTAGTCCTGTCCTCTGTAGATACAGAACAGTCAGGGTTGTCACCCTAGGAGAGGAAGTGTGTACTGGCAGGATCACCGGGTGAGATAATGGAGAAAAAAGAAAAAAGGAAAACTAAGTCCAGTCCTCATCAATACGTCATCAATATATCTGAGTCTCTAGTGAAGGGATAGGCTGCGTTCTCGGTGATGTCACCGCTCTCTAGTGAAGGGATAGGCTGCGTTCTCGGTGATGTCACCGCTCTCTAGTGAAGGGATAGGCTGCGTTCTCGGTGATGTCACCGCTCTCTAGTGAATGGATAGCTGCGTTCTCGGTGATGTCACCGCTCTCTAGTGAAGGGATAGGCTGCGTTCTCGGTGATGTCACCGCTCTCTAGTGAAGGGATAGGCTGCGTTCTCAGTGATGTCACCGCTCTCTAGTGAAGGGATAGGCTGCGTTCTCGGTGATGTCACCGCTCTCTAGTGAAGGGATAGGCTGCGTTCTCGGTGATGTCACCGCTCTCTAGTGAAGGGATAGGCTGCGTTCTCGGTGATGTCACCGCTCTCTAGTGAAGGGATAGGCTGCGTTCTCGGTGATGTCACCGCTCTCTAGTGAATGGATAGGCTGCGTTCTCGGTGATGTCACCGCTCTCTAGTGAAGGGATAGGCTGCGTTCTCAGTGATGTCACCGCTCTCTAGTGAAGGGATAGGCTGCATTCTCGGTGATGTCACCGCTCTCTAGTGAAGGGATAGGCTGCATTCTCGGTGATGTCACCGCTCTCTAGTGAATGGATAGGCTGCATTCTCGGTGATGTCACCGCTCTCTAGTGAATGGATAGGCTGCATTCTCGGTGATGTCACCGCTCTCTAGTGAATGGATAGGCTGCATTCTCGGTGATGTCACCGCTCTCTAGTGAATGGATAGGCTGCGTTCTCGGTGACGTCACCGCTCTCTAGTGAAGGGATAGGCTGCGTTCTCGGTGACGTCACCGCTCTCTAGTGAAGGGATAGGCTGCGTTCTCGGTGACGTCACCGCTCTCTAGTGAAGGGATAGGCTGCGTTCTCGGTGACGTCACCGCTCTCTAGTGAATGGATAGGCTGCGTTCTCGGTGACGTCACCGCTCTCTAGTGAAGGGATAGGCTGCGTTCTCGGTGACGTCACCGCTCTCTAGTGAAGGGATAGGCTGCGTTCTCGGTGACGTCACCAGCTCTCTAGTGAAGGGATAGGCTGCGTTCTCGGTGATGTCACCGCTCTCTAGTGAAGGGATAGGCTGCGTTCTCGGTGATGTCACCGCTCTCTAGTGAAGGGATAGGCTGCGTTCTCGGTGATGTCACCGCTCTCTAGTGAAGGGATAGGCTGCATTCTCGGTGATGTCATCGCTCTCTAGTGAAGGGATAGGCTGCATTCTCGGTGATGTCACCGCTCTCTAGTGAAGGGATAGGGGGTATTATTGATGGGCGGTATTACTGATCGGGGGGTAATATTGATGGGCGATATTACTGATCGGGGGGGGGGGGGGGGGGGGGGGGGGGGGAGTCTGAGGGGGTAATCAGGGTGGATTTGATGTAAATCCCAGTTTTCTACATAAAGACTAATTCTTCTGGTATAACTGTAATAGACAAGTAGATGAAGATTTATAGAATAACAACTTTTCATAGTTTTTTTTTCTCCCCCAGTTTTATTAGGTTAATCATTCATATTTGGACAACTTTTCTGTTACTTCGGAAGGAGAAAAATAATCATCACCTTAATAACAATGGAAATAGATTTATTCATCCGAAACAACAACATTCCAGCTCTGTGATTGGCTTAAACATCCGTGTTTGGTAACTAATTTGGCTAAACAAAATATATATATTGTCAGAAACTTAGACTGTCGGCCCCTCCCTCCTCCTCGCACCGTCGGCCCCTCCCTCCCCCTCCTCGCACCGTCGGCCCCTCCCTCCTCCTCGCACCGTCGGCCCCTCCCTCCTCCTCGCACCGTCGGCCCCTCCCTGTGATCTCTGCTGAGTCACATTCAGTTTTGAGAACTGCAAAGTAAACCAATCATCTGTGATCATATCTTGTAGGCAGAGAAACTGACCAATAATCTGACAGAAACCTCTGGAGAGCGAGACATTGTGAATGGATTCATGGGATTTATGTACCAAACAGGGAGGAGGGAGGGGCCGACAGTGTGAGGAGGGAGGGGCCGACAGTGTGAGGAGGGAGGGGCCGACAGTGTGAGGAGCCGACAGAGTGAGGAGGGAGGGGCCGACAGAGTGAGGAGGGAGGGGCCGACAGAGTGAGGAGGGAGGGGCCGACAGAGTGAGGAGGGGAGGGCCGACAGAGTGAGGAGGGAGGGGATTTATGTACCAAACAGGGAGGAGGGAGGGGCCGACAGTGGAGGGGCCGACAGTGGGAGGAGGGAGGGGCCGACGGTGTGAATGGAGTCAGGGATTTATGGACCAATCATATACAGCCTTATTCTACATGATTACAAAAACTCATCTTTACTTCATGATGGAATAACTTTCGGATGGTAATAGATTTTCCTCAAAAAGCATTTTTATTTCAAAAAATCCGATTTAAATAAAAAAAAAAAAAAAAAAAAAAAAACTGATTTTTTAATAAAAAAATCAGTGATTTCTATCCAGCCTGGGGGTAATATTGATGGGTGGTATTACTGATTGGGGGGTATTATTGATCAGGGGTATTACTGATCGGGGGGTAATTAATTGATCCAGCTTGTATACTGATCGGGGGGGGGGGAATATTGTATGGGCGGTATGTTACTGATTGGGGGTAGGGGTGATTGGGGGGTGGGGTATTATTGATCAGGGGTATTACTGATCCGGGGGGGGGGGGGGGGGGGGAATATGATTAGATGGGCTGGTATATTAACTGATCCGGGGGGGGGGGGGGGGAATTAATATTGATCGCAGGTATTACTGATCAGGGGGAATATTGATGGGGGGGGGTTATTGATCGTGGGTTATTATTGATGGGTAGTATTACTGATCGGGGGGTATTACTGATCGGGGGGAATGTTGGATGGGCCGGTATTACTGATCGGGGGGGGGGGGGGGAATTATTGATCGCGGGTATTATTGATGGGTGGTATTACTGATTGGGGTCGGTATTATTGATCAGGGGTATTACTGATCGGGGGGGGGAATATTGATGGGCGTATTACTGATCAGGGGGGGGGGGAAATAATGATGGGGCGGGCGGTATTACTGATCGGGGGGCGGGGATATTCATGGGCGGTATTATACTGATGGGGGGGGGGGGGAATATTCATGGGCGGTATTACTGATGGGGGGGAATTATTGTATGGGCGGTATTACTGATCGGGGGGGGGGGGAATATTGATGGGCGGTCGGGTATTACTGGATCGGGGGGGGGGGGTAGAATTATTGATGGGCGGTATTTACTGATCAGGTGGGGGGGGGAATATTGATGGGCGGTTATTACTGTTCGGGGGGGGGGGGGGAATATTGATGGGCGGTATTACTGGATCGGTGGGGGGGGGGGAATATTGATGGGCGCGGTATTACTGATCGGGGGGGGGGGGAATATCGAATGGGCGGTATTACTGATCGGGGGGGGAATATCGTTTTATGGGCGGTATTACTGATCGGGGGGGGGGGGGGGGAATATCGAATGGGCGGTTATTACTGATCGGGGGGGGGGGGGGGGGGAAGGGGGGGGGGGTAATATCGATGGGCGGGTATTACTGATCGGGGGGGGGGGGGGAATAAGTTCGTGATGGGCGGTATTACTGATCGGGGGGGGGGGGGGGAATATATCGATGGGCGGTATTTACTGATCGGGGGGGGGGGGGGAAATATTGATGGGCGGTTATTATGGATCGGGGGGGGGGGGTGGAATATTGATGGGATCGTATTACTGGATCGGGGGGGGGGGGGGGGGGAATATTCGTATGGGCCACACTGTTATTACTGATGGGGGCTGGGGGATTAGGAATCATTCGATTTTTTTTTCCGCGGTATTCGGTATTACTGATGGGGGGGGGGATTAGTTGATGGGCGTGCTTACTGATAGGGGGGGGGGGGGGTGAAATCCAAAACCATGGGCGGGTATTTACTTGATCGGGGGGGGGGTGTGGGGACAATATTGATGGGCGGTAATACCATGAAAACCAAACCATCGGTTTGGGGGGGAATATTCATGGGCGCGGTATTACTGATGGGGGGGGGGGGGGGGGAATATTCCATGGGCGTAGGTATTACAACCATCAGGGGGGGGGGGGGGGGGTAAAAAGAAGAATGATTGATGGGCGGGTTTTGCTTAGCTGGCTTCGGGGGGGGGGGGGAACGCTATCATGGGCGGTATTACTGATCGGGGGGGGAATATTGATGGGCGGTATTAACTGATCGGGGGGGGGGGGAAAATTGATGGGCGTGTATTACTGATCGGGGGGGGGGGGAATAACTCGATGTGGGCGGTATTACTGATCGGTATTACTTACAGGACTCCTGTTTGATGATGGTCATTGGAAGCAGTGGAAGGTTCCTGTATACCAATCGAGGGGGCTGGAATATGCTCTTGACCCTGGAGACCGCACCTAGAAGAGTAATTTATAGTGATTTGGATGAGGGCGCGCATACGACATGGAGAATGAATAGAATGATCCTGGAAGTATTTTAACGACACATATAATGGAAACCGTGGAGGATTTTCTACTTGACAATACACTCAAAACATGTTCAACATCTGATTGCACATTAGTCCTCCTGCTCGGCACCATTCCAGGCTGTGAAAATCCGGCAGAAGGCGATCCCATGACATCAGAGAATATTGGTGCTCAGGCAGACGCCTGTGCTGCTTCTCCCTTCTGACATTGCAGCCCCTGCTTGTACATGGGACACCACAGAAGGTCTGATCACCGGTCACACTCTGGGACCGGCTCTGCTTCTCTTCTATTGGTCTGTTAGAAGCTCATCCCCCTCCCCCCACCCCCCCCCCCACCCCTGGCAGTGCAGATGGTTTGTCCCAGCCCTGGAGTCATCACATTGTATGGTGTCATCTATCTACCCGTCCCCTCCCCCCCACAGATTACAACTTACCTTGATCCATTGCGGCTGTTTTGTTTCCATTGGGAGTCGGAAGTCCTCACATACTGCCATAGACTTCTATAGGAACGTCCCGATCTCAGGACAGGAATGAGTCCCGTCATTGGAGGCCACAACTCTGACAGATGGAGGGAAGTACACACATGGGGGGGGGGGTAACTGCACTCGGTTTTACAGTACACTGTCCTTTTAAGGATCGGGATCACAGTGAGCAGATCAAGATGTGAACCACCTGGACAACAGCAATCTCCGACATCAGATGACATTTCCTCCAGCTCACTTTGCTTTGCTTGGTGTCAGCGACATTCAGACGGTGACAAAAGCATATATGAACCATTGACTTATGCATGAGTTGTGTGGAACTTGGCGCCTCCATGACGCAGGGTGAAGGTGGGACCCCCGGGGGATGGTCGGACCAACAACCCGGGGGATGGTCGGACCCCGGGGGATGGTCGTTCCATGAGAAGACATTAATCGTCGGCTAACTCCATCACATTATGTTAAATTCTGTACTTTGCCTCGTGGGCTCCAGTCTGGGCCCTTCCACCCCCTACAAGCCCTGTAAATGGTTTGTTCTCTGATGAAGGCAGATTGGCCCAAAGACTCCACCAATTCTTTATGCTGGAAGTTGTGGTGGAGATGGGTGTGCCAAGGGGGGGGGGGGGGGACACTGGAGGGCTTGGCGGTGAGTTCTGATGGAGCGTTCCTTGAAGACTTCATAGCATCTGATGGGGGAATCCCATTCCATTGACCAGGAAGTCTTCCACGGCAGCTCACCTTAGAGATTCTTTATCTTCAGGAAGGGCTGAGCCATGGGGTGAAAGGGCAGTGGCTACAGTCACGGGGTGCAAGGGCAGAGGCACAGTCACGGGGGACGAGGGGCAGAGGCACAGTCACGGGGGACGAGGGGCAGAGGCACAGTCACGGGGGACGAGGGGGCAGAGGCACAGTCACGGGGGACGAGGGGCAGAGGCACAGTCACGGGGTGCAAGGGCAGAGGCACAGTCACGGGGTGCAAGGGCAGAGGCACAGTCACGGGGTGTGCAAGGGCAGAGGCACAGTCACGGGGTGCAAGGGCAGAGGCACAGTCACGGGGTGCAAGGGCAGAGGCACAGTCACGGGGTGCAAGGGCAGAGGCACAGTCACGGGGTGCAAGGGCAGAGGCACAGTCACGGGGTGCAAGGGCAGAGGCACAGTCACGGGGTGCAAGGGCAGAGGCACAGTCACGGGGGTGCAAGGGCAGAGGCACAGTCACGGGGTGCAAGGGGCAGAGGCACAGTCACGGGGTGCAAGGGCAGAGGCACAGTCACGGGGTGCAAGGGCAGAGGCACAGTCACGGGCTGTGCAAGGGGCAGAGGCACAGTCACGGGGTGCAAGGGCAGAGGCACAGTCACGGGGGTATTGCAGGCGCTCTGTAAATGTGTTCAGAGACGTTTTGTCTGCCAACACACAGGAGGCAACGAAATTCACCCGCCGCAGCGCACAGCGACGCCCTACGCAGCAATGCACGCGCGTCCAAGCTGCATGGCCTCAGTGCGCCGGGTGCTATGAACGGACACCAACGCACTGACACAATATTTCCTGCACACAACGCATGTCACAGATGGGTCACTCAGGGCGAAGGCGTTCACACGCGGCAGACGCTGTTCAAAAACGCACACAGGATGTACAACGCCCAAAAAACCGCAACGCAGGTCACATAGCCGCCGCCGAACCGCCATTGCTCTACTGAAATCTCTGGAGTGGTCTGACCTGCATTCCAGGAAACAAACGCCCATCGCCATAAGCCCCTCCTCCAATCCGCGGCTCCGGCATTCATCAATGTTCTCCATCGTGGATCACCATGGGATCAGCCCTGCGCACTCCGCCCCCAACAATGGCGGCATCCGGTGAAGAACATCTAGAGGGAGGGGGTTGGGGCCCCCTATGGCTTCGATTGCTGCGGGTCCCTGTTAGGGGGGAGTTTACCTCTGAATGTTCTGATCCCTGAGAATGGAAGAGACGGGAAATGCTAAGCCACCCTTGAAACAGGAAGAGATGGGAAATCCTCCAGTGGGGACCCCGAAACAGGAAGAGTTGGGAAATTCTCCAATGGGGACCCCCGAAACAGAAGAGTTGGGAAATTCTCCAATGGGGACCCCCGTTCTGGTGACAACGCCCCAACAGGGGTTTCCTGTCACTTCTAGTGGAGTCTGCAGGACAGGAAGTGAAGGGGGAGGTCACTATAATTCACTGCAGAGAAGAGCCGTCAGAGCCAGGCGAGTGATTGGATCCCACGGTTCCTAATGGGCGGGACTTGGAATCTCCGCCTCCAAGATGACAACTTCTACACAACGAATATAAAATCATTGAAACAAACTCACCTTCACCGTGTCAAACGGATGTCCGACCAACACGCCGGCGGCACCTGCAAGACAGAGACAGAGGGGGGGTTGGTGTCAGTATGAAGACTTCAGATAGAACACATACATATATTGACTCCTCCCCCTCGACTCCCCACCACTGACCCCTCCTCTCCTCGACCCCCCACCGCTGACTCCTCCTCCTCCTCGACCCCCCCCACCGCTGACCCCTCTCCTCCTCGACCCCCCCACCGCTGACCCCCTCTCCTCCTCGACCCCCCCACCGCTGACCCCTCTCCTCCTCGACCCCCCACCGCTGACCCCTCTCCTCCTCGAACCCCCACCGCTGACTCCTCCTCCTCTTCGACCCCCCCCGCTGACTCCTCCTCCTCTTCGACCCCCACCGCTGACTCCTCCTCCTCTTCGACCCCCCACCGCTGACCCCTCTCCTCCTCGACCCCCCACCGCTGACCCCTCTCCTCCTCGACTCCCCCACCGCTGACCCCTCTCCTCCTCGACTCCCCACCGCTGACCCCCTCTCCTCCTCGACTCCCCACCGCTGGCCGCTACTCCTCCTCCTCTTCGACCCCCCCACCGCTGACTCTCCTCCTCTTCGACCCCCCACCGCTGACTCCTCCTCCTCTTCGACCCCCCACCGCTGACTCCTCCTCCTCTTCGACCCCCCACCGCTGACCCCGGTCTCCTCCTCGACCCCCCCACCGCTGACAAAATCCTCCTCCTCTTCGACCCCCCACCGCTGACTCCTCACTCCTCCTCGACCCCCCACCGCTGACCCCTCCTCCTCCTCGACTCCCCACCGCTGACCCCTCTCCTCCTCGACTCCCCCCGCTGACCCCATCTCCCTCCTCGACTCCCCACCCGCTGACCCCTCTCCTCCTCGACCCCCCACCGCTGACTCCTCCTCCTCTTCGACCCCCCCACCGCTGACTCCTCCTCCCTCTTCGACCCCCCACCGCTGACTCATCCTCCTCTCTCTTCGACCCCCACCACCGCTGAATCCTCCTCGACTCGCCACCGCTGACTCCTCCTCCTCGACTCCCCACCGTAACGCTGACTCCCATTGGTTGAAATCTCGGTGGGGGGCTGATTGTACCAAAGCCGATTGCTGTGTGAATTGGACTTTACATGAGACTATTGCCAGCCGCTGGCAGAAATCATTGTATTCCCTGGCAGGAACAGCCCCCCCCCCCGAAACAGCCACCCCCCAGGGACAGCGCGCCCCCCTCAGGACAGCGCCCCCCTCTGCGGGAAGGATTCCCCCATCGCCGAGTGCGTTGATGGGGGAATTGAGCGATTTTCCTCCGTGGTCGCAGGAGGAACGCATCGTGTGGCCGGCCTATCAGTGGAATGAAGAAAATGTTGGTCTTTTTAGCTCCTCCCACAGGAAGTGACACTCAGGATTTCTGGCAGGATGGCCGCCACATCGGAGGACATTCCTGGCTTCAGCAGATCCGCACATTGCGCGTCTCTAGAGGCCCATCATCTGATTGGCCGATTCCACTTCCTGTCACCCCGGGATCAGGCGATCCTCCTGGGAAGTGCGGCTTTGATCCATCCGTGATCGCTGAATGCAGCCCGAGTGCGAGATGTGACCCCTGATGATGCCAGAATATAGATGGTGCCGTCCTCCTGGAGAGATGAGATGGGGGGGGGGTCCTCCTGGAGAGGAGATGGGGGCCCTCCTGGAGAGGAGATGGGGGCCCTCCTGGAGAGGAGATGATATGGGATATGGGGGGGGGGTCCTCCTGGAGAGGAGATGATATGGGATATGGGGGGGGTCCTCCTGGAGAGGAGATGAGATATGGGGGGGGGGGGGGGTCCTCCTGGAGAGGAGATGGGATATGGGGGGGGGGTCCTCCTGGAGAGGAGATGGGATATGGGGGGGGGGTCCTCCTGGAGAGATGGGGGGGTCCTCCTGGAGAAGAGATGAGATGGGGGGGGTCCTCCTGGAGAGGAGAGAAGATGGGGGGTCCTCCTGGAGAGGAGAGGAGATGGGGGGGGGTCCTCTGGGGGGACACAGGCTGTACTGACAGGAATGTTGGATCCACTTTCTGATAGAAAACAGATTATAGTCTTCAAATCTAAGGAAATGCTGAAATCCCTGGAATGTGCCCCCCCCCCCCCATACACCCGATTCCTTCTCTGAGATGGGGGGGGGGGGGCGATGAGTAGATATGAGCGCCTGAACATTCCGGAACCCTTCACGCTCGTCACCCATGTACAGAGATCACCTTATCTCCTTCCCAAGGATTTCACCCACTGCAGCCCTGAGCGGCCTGGAATACGGGGTCTGCTGTACGGGGTCTGCTGTACGGGGGGTCCGCTGTACGCTCTGGGATAGGAATGTACACCACCCCCACACCCACTATAACCCCCCCTCGTTAGAGTGTAAGCTCCCTTGCACAGCCCCCCCCCCCCCCTTATTGCTCGCACTGCTGATATATAAATCCCGAATAATAATAATAAATACAGATTTCTGGATATTTTCTTTTGGGGGGAAAAAACATAATAAATAGATATGAAGAATTGTAGCGAGGTGCGATGTATTATATGTGCAGCCAGCAGGGGGCGCTCTCTGCATCATTTCAAGGCTTTCCTCCCATTTGTATCATTCATGTGTAGAGAGCTCAGTAGCTCAACCTATAATTTCCACCTATACCAGTACATGAGTCAGGGAAGCAGAGACTCTCCCCCCTTTGATGCTCTCCTCCCTCTGAGATTTCTGTTAGAGGTAAAGATCTCGGAAAGTCACGGATGTAATCTATATATATATCCTGTCCAGGATCTGCCACAATAATCGTTCTGTGCCAACATCGGGACCGAGGCGCCGATCGTACGTCTGATCCTTCAATGTGTTCCAATGTGTCCAGCATGCTGGAAGACATTCCCGTACGATGATAAACCTCTCCGCTGCCAGCGGGACCCTTCACCTCCCGATACAACAGGCCACCACCCCTTGATTCCACTCACAAATTTTTCCCCCCAATGACCACAAAGGAGATATGTGCACCAAACGCCTGACCCTGAATAAACCCAGAGATATGACCTTGTAAAAGGAGCAGTGACATCATCACTGTACAGAGAGCAGGCTCCACCCACCACAGGAGGGGGCAGAGACAAGGCCAGTCCCCCTGTACAAGGAGAGAGCAGAGTTGTGGGAGGGGCCCAGCAGGCTCCACCTAGTAGAGGAGGGGTTGGAGACAAGGACTAGTCCACGTGCACAAGAAGAGAGGGCAGCACTGAGCACCCCTCCCCTACTGATCACTGACTCACAATGGACAGAACTGAGAGAGACCGAGGACCCCCCCCCTCTACAGAGAGAGACGTCATCACGCCACACCGAGGATCTGTTCACCCATTGCTGATCCCACGGAGAGAAGAACGCCATGTGTACCCAATCCATACCACCCCCTATACCGCACCCATACCACCCACTATTTACCGCACCCATACCACCCACTATACCGCACCCATACTTCTCCCTTAGCACCCCCATATACCGCACCCATACCACCCCCTATACCGCACCTATTCAATTCCCCCATACCACACCCCCTATAACGCATCCATACTTCCACATACCACCCCCTATATAGCCGCCCCCATACGTCTCCCATTACCACCCCCTATACCGCACCCCATACCACCCCCTATACCGAACCCTATACTGCCAGCTATACTTCTCCCATACCGCCCCTCCCCCTCAGACTGCCCCCTATACTGTACCCATACTGACCCCTATACCGCACTTATTCAAAACCTAGACTGCACCTATACCGACCCTATACCCCATCATACTGAACCTTTACCATATCCGAACCGCATGTAGCTTGCATCTCTGCCAAGACTATACTGTATCTACACTGAGCCAAGCCTAAACCCCGCCTATACCATGCCTAAACCCCGCCTATACCATGCCTAAACCCCGCCTATACCAATGCCTAAACCCCGCCCATACCATGCCTAAACCCCGCCCATTACCATGCCTAAACCCTCCCATACCATGCCTAAAAACCCCGCCCGCCATACCATGCCTAAACCCCGCCTATACCATGCCTAAACCCCGCCTATACCATGCCTAAACCCCGCCTATACCATGCCTAAACCCCGCCTATACCGCGCCTACAGTCAGGTCCATAAATATTGGGACATGGACACAACTCTAACATTTCTGGCTCTATACACCACAATGGATTTGAAATGAAAGGAACAAGATGTGCTTTACCTGCAGTACTGTCCAGCTTTAATTTGAGGGTATTTACATCCAAATCAGGTGAACGGTGTAGGAATGACAACAGTTTGCATAGGTGCCTCCCACTTGTTAAGGGACCACAAGTAATGGGACAATTGACTTCTCAGCTGTTCCATGGCCAGGTGTGTGTTATTCCCTTCAATTATCCCAATTACAGTGAGCAGATAAA